GAGCCCCCCAAGCCAGCCCAGGTAAGACGGTGATGGATGTGGGGTTCCCTTGGCCCCGGGTGGGCAGCGTGGCCTTCCATGGCATGCTGTGCATGGCTTGCCCTGACATGCCATGCCGGGAGACTGTGCCTGCACTGTCCTGCTTCGGCTTCATCCCAGCCACAGGACACCTCCTGCTCTGGCAGCGCATCCCGAGCAGCCAGTGCCGGTGCACTTGCCCGGCAGGCTCCAGGCACTGCGGTGAGGCCAGGTGCTGCCTCTGCAGTGCCCCAGGGGTTATGCCTGGATACCACCCCCCCCAGCTCTCAGCCTTTCCTTCTCTCTTTCTCTTGCAGGCAGCTGAGCTGTGGTTCCTCCTGCCTCCGTCTGCCCCTGCCTCTGTCTGATATGTTTGATATTAGGTTGTTTTATTAGAAAACCAACTAAATATCAAACATATTCTTACAGCGCCAGGGATGCCCGGCGCTGACTTGGCCAGATGCTACCTGTGCCCTGCCCTGCACTGGGGGGTCCCTCTGCACCTCATCCTGCAGCCCCTGCCAGCCCTTTTACTGCCGCAATAAAACCTGTCTGCCCATCTCCATGGTGCTTGAGAGGGGGAGGCCGGAGCTGTCCTGGGGACTGGCGGAGGTTTGGGATGGCAGCGGGGTCAGCACTTGCCACCTGTCCCCTTGCTCACGCTGGGGATGATGACAATACAAAGGCCCGTGGCCCCGTGCCCACTGCTGGCTCTGCTGCCCCAGCACAGGGGGTTATTTATGGAGGTGCAGCCACTGCTCGGGGCCCTTGGTAGGTGGGCACTGTTCCCCCAGTGCCCTGCCCAGGGTGCTACGAGCTGTTCAAGGTCTCTGTCCTCCAGGTCCCTAGGTGCTGACTCCCTTAGCCCCCAAAATCTGTCATTGGGTGGGAGCAGTGAGTCTCTTCCATGGGAGATCCTACACTGGCTTATGGGACCTCGGGGCCGGCACGAGGAGGCCATGAATCCCCCGGCTGTGGATGGAGTGCTGCTACGTGCCCTGAGAATTCCTCCCTGCGCCTCGGGAATCTGCTCCTCCAGCTGCCAACAGCATCCTCTGCCTCAACATCAAGCACCAGCATGGCTGGAGCTGGGCTCAGGGCTCAGCAGGCTCCTGGGGGGTTCTGCTCCTGGTGCTGGGCTCAATTTGTCCCACTGCTCCCTGCAAAGCCAAACACTCTGGGCCAGGGGCTGCTGCCAAACCCCTGCTCCCAAAATAGCACCAGGCTGAGCTCGCCCTTTTCCATGCCACCCCCAGGCAGGGGTAAATGTCAGCCTAGGGCCACCAAAACACCCTAAGCCCCTGGTGGAGGGCAAATGTGGTAGGGTAAGACTTTGTGCTGGTGCTGCATGGACCCAGCTCAACATCCTGAAGGAGCGCTGGGTGGGAGCACAGTGTCCTCGTGGCACCAGCCAGAGTGTCCTGTTGCATGGGGGGCAGGGGTGCAGCTGGGACAATACAGGACCCCCTGCTCCCAGACCTGCCACTGCTTTTTATAACACTCCAGCTGTCCTCAGGAGCCCAAATAAGGCCGTGGCCACCCAGACCCCCTGGGGCGGACAATGGGTCCCCAGCACAGACTTTTTGGGAAGGTGGGGAGGCGGTTCAGCCCAAGAAAGGCAAAGCCCTTGGGCTGGGCAGAGCTGATAAACAGGCAGCGGGGCACAGGCAGCACAACTGCCCTGTCCACCCCTTGCCAGTTCCGCATTCAGCTACCCGTTGCTGCCTGTGTCCCAGCGAGGATGGAGGCCATCAAGAAGAAGATGCAGATGCTGAAGCTGGACAAGGAGAATGCCCTGGACCGGGCGGAGCAGGCAGAGGCTGAGCAGAAGCAGGCAGAGGAGCGGAGCAAGCAGGTAGGGCAGGCAGCAGCAGCCCCCAGCCCAGGGGTGTTGGGAGGCGGCTTCTGTCTGTGTCAGCTCACAGTGAGCCCAGACCCAACACCCAACACAGACTCTGGCTGGGGTATGAGGGTGCCACAGCTGACACTGTCCCACAGCTCAAGGGCTGCCTAGGGCTCAGCCCCTGCCAGTTGGTGGGGTGTGGGAAAAGGACAGACACTGTGGGGCAGTGCTGGTCCCAAGGGTGGGGCAGGAGGGATGCTGTGGGGCAGAGCTGAGCCTGGAATGGGGCAGGCAGGGCTCTCTCACAGTGCAGGGGTCCAAAGTGGCGTCCACCTGTGGTGACATCACTGCCCTTCCAGCTGGAGGACGAGCTTGCTGCCATGCAGAAGAAGCTAAAGGGGACAGAGGATGAACTGGACAAATACTCTGAGGCCCTGAAAGATGCCCAGGAGAAGCTGGAGCTGGCAGAGAAGAAGGCAGCGGACGTACGTATGGGGTGCAAGGTGGAAGCTGAGGGCTGCCCTCCCCTCCTTGCCTTCCTGATGGGACTGCAGCCCTTCCCTATGCCTTGGGGACACGGGAAGGTCCCTGTCTGGCTCACTGCATTCCCAGCAAAGCTGTGTGGGTGTCTGGGAGCAGAGAATAACCCTGTGAAGGACATGTCCTGAGGGCAGAGCCAGGCAGTGAGCAGCCCCTCAAGAGTGGGACACATGTCCCCAGGAAACTCTGAATCACAGTTGTGGGCAGAGGAGTCAAGCCGAGGAGGAGGAGGAGGATGAGGAGGACGAGGAGGAGGAGGAGGAGGGAAGCAGGTGGAGGTGCATAGGCAGTGTGAGGATTGCAGAGCCCAGCTATTGTCGGCTGCTGTTTCCAGGAAAACAATGGCACCAGCAGTTCAGGGTTTCACCCACTGGCCGCTCTGCAGCCATCACGAGGCATCCAGCCCCGCTCATCACTTGCCAGGACCTGGCAGCCAGGGGCCACTTCCCTGTGGGGCTGGGATGTCTCAGGGTCCAGTGTTGGGGCGATGCAGCTTTTCCCTCCTGCGGGAGCCAGGAGAAATCCCGCAGCTTCTCTCCCTCGATGGGCCCAGCTCTGATGCAGAGGAGGCAGGAACTGTCCTCTGCCACTGTGCCCACAGGGAAGTGTCTGAACCCTGGCACAGCACCTGGGCTGCTGTGGGTCAGGGTGTTATTTGGGAGCTCTGGAGCCCTTCTGGAACCCTGGGACGTTTGTCACCCTGCAGCTTTGCTTGCAGCCCCCTGTCCCAGCACAGTGGCAGTGCCATCCCTGCACTGGAGTCGGCACATGTTCAATGCGGCATCGCAGAGCTCTGGGATCCCTTTCCCTCCCTCACACCCTTTCTGCTTCCCTCTGCTCCCTATTGGCATTTTCGTCACCACATCCCCACTTGCTTCTTTGTGGATCCCTCTGTGTGTATCTGGAGCCCCTTTTCCTGGCTGCTGCCACCTCAGGGTGGCCCTCGGAGCTGCCCCAGTTTTCCCCTGGTTCCAGGCAGTGGAGGGACTGGATGGGCAGAGCTGCCTCCCAGGTGCCTCCAGTTCCCACCTCATCCCTGGAAACGTGCCATGCTGCACATGCTGCACATGCCAGCCCAGGTAAATGTGGCCCTGAAGCATCCACCTGCCCAGCTGCTGAGGACGTCGGGAGGCAGCAGCCTGAAACCCTTCCCTTCTATCCATGTGCCCGAAGCCCTGCCAAATGGGCTTTGTGGGGAGTGAGGGCAGCAATGGGGCTCGGTGGTGTATTTACTGAGCTTTTGGGGGGCTCCAAGAACCCTCACGGCACCAAGAGACACGGCTCCTGGCTCCAAGGAACACTGATCTTGGCAGTGTTGTCTGCACCACTGTCTGCCCTCAGACTGGAGGGTTCTCACAGGGGCTCAGGCCGTCGAGATGTTGGGGTTTGGTACACGGGAGTAGAGCGGCAGCCCGGCAATCACAGCCCCAGTCCTGGGCGGGAGGAGGGAGCAGGATCTGCCGCAGAGCTGTGGGGTCCTGGGGGTTGCAGTGCCCGAGCTCAGCCCCCGTGGCCCAGCAGTCCCCAAATGTGGCCCGTGGGGCTGAGGGACAGGTGGCACCGCGGAGTCCGGCCCCATGGAGGGGGCCCGTGTGGGGCCAGGCCTGGCTCCTCCAGGCCCTGTGCTCCCCAACACATGGGGCCGGTCCCAGCGCCCCCACGCCCATATGGGGCAGGTCCCTGTGGACCCAGGTGCCTGCGGTGCAGATCCCGGTGTCCCCCCCGGCCCGGTCCCAGTGCCCCTTTCCCACCAGGTCGGGGTCCCAGTGTCCTTATTCCCGCCTGGTCTTGGTCCCAGTGTCCCTTCCCCACCTGGTCCCAGTCCCAGTCCCGGTGTCCCAGGTCCAGGTCCCAGTGCCCCAGGCCCCGGTGGGTCCCGATCCCGATGAGTCCCGGTCCCGGTGCGTCCCGGTCCCGGTGTGTCCCGGTCCCGGTGTGTCCCGGTCCCGGTGTGTCCCGATCTTGGTGTGCCCTGGTCCCGGTGCCCCAGGCCCCGGTGTGTCCCGATCCCAGTGTCCCCACTCGGTCCCGGTGTGTTCCGGTTACCCCGCTGTCCCCGCCCGGTCCCGGTGCCCCCCCGTCTCCCGGGTAACGCTCGCGCGGGGCGGGCCGGAAGTGCCGTCAGTTCCGGGCGGCGGGACCGGGCGCGGTCCCGGGGGGTGCGGGGGCGGCGGCGGGGCCGGAGCGGACGGACCGAGCATGGCCGGGGCCACCACCATCGAGGCGGTCAAGCGCAAGATCCAGGTGCTGCAGCAGCAGGCGGACGATGCGGAGGAGCGGGCGGAGCGCCTGCAGCGGGAGGTGGAGGCCGAGCGCCGCAACCGCGAGCAGGTACCGCCGGGGCCGCCCCGCTGGGGCACGGCCGGGGTGGCGGCGCGCCCGGGGCCGGGGGGTCCCGCTCCGAGCCGCAGGGAGCGCCCGCGGGGTCCCGCGGGGTCCGCTGCGCCCCGGGGGTCCCGCCCCGTGGCCGGGGGTCTCTCTGGGTCCCTGGGACCTGCCCGTGGTGCTGAGCGGGGACCGGAGCGGGGGGGGCCGGCAGGGCGTTGTTTCGCCGTTCCCCGTGTCCCGGGGCTGACCGCGGCCGGGGGGAGGGGGAGGCCCCGGCCATCTTGTGCGGCCCCGAGCCCGGAGCTGCGCGGGTAAGATGGAAGGAAGGAGGGAGCGGGGTCCCTCGGCTGCGGCCGGGCCGAAGCCCCTGGAGCATCTCCCGAGCCCCGCATCCTGCCCCCGGGACCGGCAGCCGCGGGGGGAGGCACAGGGGCTTGGCTGGGATGGCCTGGAAGGAAGGAAGGAAGGACGGAGCAACCACGGCAGGATCTGAGCTGGCAGATCCGGGGGACGCCGGCACGGCTGGGGACGGGGATTGGGTGACACGGGCGGCCACCTCGATGTGCCCGGCTCCCTTGGGCCGGGGGCACAGGCAAGGCCGGTGTGTTGTGGGCACAAGGATGGGGTGACACGGGGCCAGTCCCGGCTCGAATCCGTGGTTCTCCGTGAATTTGCAGTGACTTTGCTGAAGTTGAGCCCTCTCCCCTCAGTGCCCGAGCTGCGTGTCTGTGACAGCACTGTGTGACTGGGCTCTGCTGGGCTCTTTTTTCGCAGCCACATAAGGAATTCTCCTTGTAATAGCAGCGTTGTCATGGGAACACGCGTGCTTCTCCCAGCTCCCTGAGCCTCCTTCAGGGGAGCCAACCAGTGCTCCCAGTTTGGTGCTGATCCCGGGTCCTGGGGAGCCCTCTTGGATCTCTGTGGGCTGGGGAAGCGATGGTGAGTCCCAAAAGCCGGGGCGAGCTCCTCCCTTGGCTTGCAGGGCTCCAGGTGCTCCCTGGTTCAAGGGCTACCTTCCTGAAGGAAGCACTGAGTAACAGGAATGTGCCACTTGCAGCAGGGCTGCCTGGAAGTCACCTGGAAGTTCACCTCGTGGCCCGGAGAAGCCTGACAGTTTTGGCTGCGTCCAAGGAGGAGCAGCAGAAGGGGAGGTGTAAGGGCCCTTCTGCAGTGGGGCACTTCCTCAAAAGCAGCGGTGGTTTTTGAGTGGGTTAAGCACTGCCTGCAGGAAGTCAGGGCTAAGTGATGCAGTTCAGAGGGTGAAGAAGCAGAGGCCTGCTTGCTGGCGAGTCCCCACCCCCTGGGAGAGGGAAGGTGAAAGTTATCTACCTCAACAGCTCGTATCCCCTTTAATAGGCAAAAGATATGTGTCAGGCAGTCTCCTTCCCAGTTCTGTTTAAGGTATTGTTGTGTTCCTCTTCGGGCAGACCACTTCCCCGTCAGGCGGGGCAGGTTCTGGCTCTGGGCACCCACAGGGGTGTGGGCTTCTTGGGTGAGGAGTGGGGTATGCCTGCATGGGAGCTCCTCTGCTGCTTGTGCTCTCCCAGCCTGGTCTTGAAATGTGGTAGGGGGTGCCAGAGTGGCAGAAGGAGGGGGAGAGCTCGGACAGCCCCTCCGGGAACTGGATGCAACTGGTGTTGGGCTCCACTGTAACACAGGCGCCTTTCATTGCTCTGCTCCTCCCTCCTCGGCATGGTGAGGAGCAGTGTGTCTGCGTAGGCTGCTTTATTAACATTCAGCTAGGGTATTTCGTGTCTGTCTGGCATGTGCCTGTGCCCAGGTCTCTGTAGAAGATCACAGCACTGCCCTGGAATGACCACAGCCCTGTCTGCCTTTGTCATCCTGTTGGGGAGCAGCATTCTGAACTCCCCAGGGGGCTCCAGTGGGGTGTCAGTGTCCCCAAAGCATCTGGGCTCCCCTGGTCTCTGGGGTTAGCATGCATGGGGCTGTGAGAAGGGGCCTTGTGGCTGATCGCAGTGGCCGGGGGATGGGACAGCCCCTGATCTCTGCTGGTCATTTCTGTGGTCACATTTCTGGCAAATGCCTGAGGGCTGTCAGCAGTTTCACCAGCTCCTGGTGCCTATGGCTGAACCGAGGTGGCTGTTGCTGGGGAACAGCCTCCTCAACCTGTCTTAGGACTGGAGGAGTCTTTTGCTCCTTCTCTGGATTGTTAGTGACTCACTGGGAGGAAGGAGGCCTTGAGCAAGGCAGGCTCTCTTGTGGGGCTGTGGGTGCTGCAGCGATGAGCCCCTGGGTTGGGCAGCACTGGTGGCCCACCTGGCCTGCCAGCACCTGACATAACTTGGCACATCCCTGAACCTGTTAATCCTTCTCGCCTTGCTGGTGAGAGGGTTTGCCTCAAGCAATGCTCACTGGTGGCCAGATGTGTGAGTAAACTGACTCTGTGCTAAGTGGCAGCTGTCACCACGCTCTGGCATGGTGGATAAACAGCTGTGATGGATGGCTTGGCAGGATCCCAGCAGCTGCAGAGGCACCCCTTGGCACAAGTCATCTCCTTAGTGTTTATGGCTTAAACTGTCAGGACAGCTCAGGCTGGCAGTGAGAAGGCTGCAGGAGGGCTGCAGCATGGACAAAGCATGCAGGAAGTGTTGTTAAGCTAAACATGCTGCATCTGGGAGAGGGGCTGAAGGTTTGCTTAGGGCTCCCATGTTGACCCAATGGCAGAGCTCAGCTGCCCTGCCTGAGCTGCTCAACCTGCACAGGCTGAGTCCTCTCCTCTGCTCCCTCCAGGCTGAGGCAGAAGTGGCATCTTTGAATCGCCGTATCCAGCTGGTAGAGGAGGAGTTGGACCGAGCTCAGGAGCGCCTTGCCACGGCTCTGCAGAAGCTTGAAGAGGCAGAGAAGGCAGCAGATGAGAGCGAAAGGTGAGCAAGGGCTCCTGCTCACGCTCTGTCAAACATCTTGGATATGTTTCTGACTGAGGGCCCAGTGCCATCCAACCTTTTGGGCTTCCCAGAGTGGGGGAAGGAGATCCCACATCAAGGCTGGATGTGGGAGTCGGTGCCTGCTTACGCAGAGCAGCTAAAACAATGCTGATGGCCTTGAGTGTCTTGGAACCTGAGGCTGCTGATGGCCTTGAATGTCTTGGAACCTGAAGCTAAGGAGCAAGGAAGTGCTGTGTGCTACCATGCATTCCTGCCCCCAAGGGAGGAGAAATAAGTGGGTTTGGAGACACCATTCCTTGTGAAGGTGGGGCAGCCTCTCTTCCTGCAGCCGCTGCCAGCATCCTCCTGGCTGGCAGGTGTCCCCTGACCTGGCCTCTGATTCAGCAGGTAGTGGTCCCCTTGCAGCTGGCTGATGTGCTTCCTCGGTTGCACACACCATGGTGAGCAGCCCAACCCAGCTGGTGGCCTGCCATGGAGATGGACTTGGCTCTTCCTGCATTCAGATGGGGAAGTGCTTGACTTGGCTTTGCTGAGTTCCTAAGACAGCCAGGGTTGTTCTTCTCAGCAGCACCGCACTTCCCTTGACCCAGGAGCCCAGTGAGCTGCTGGAGGAATGTTCCAAGGAACAGTTATTTCTGAGCAATTGAGGTTCACATCAGCCCAGCGGTATCTGCCTTCCTGTGCCACCCTCTGCACTCAGAGGAGTCATGGCTTGTCAGGAAGCACTGTGGTTCCAGGGTAGCACTGTTAATGCTCTGAAACTCATCTCAGGGCTGGCTTGTCGAGGGTTGTTTTACACACCTCCCCTCCCTGTGCTTACTTCTGGACAGAGGTATGAAAGTCATTGAAAACAGAGCTCTTAAAGATGAGGAGAAGATGGAACTGCAGGAGATCCAGCTCAAAGAAGCCAAGCACATCGCAGAGGAGGCAGACAGGAAGTATGAGGAGGTGAGACTCTTGGATGCTCTAGTACAGCTGATCTGGGCTAGGAGAGGCAACTCCTCTTCCTGCTGACAGGGCTTTCCTCAGCAAAGCTCGGTGCAGGGCCTGGCTCTCAGCAGAGCTACATCAGTGCTCTGCTTGGCCAAAAACCTCTGGCAGCTCCAGCAGCTCTTGCAGGCATTCATTCCCTTCACTGCTGTGCACAGCCTACAAGTGCAAAATCATCCTCCTTCCTCGATTCTGATTCTCCCTTCCAGGTTGCTCGGAAACTGGTGATCATAGAGGGAGATCTGGAGCGTACTGAAGAGAGAGCTGAGCTCGCAGAGTCGTGAGTAGTCCACTGGCATGTAACTGGCACGTCTGCCTCTGCATGGGAACTAACACTGCATTGCTAACCTTGTTACACAAGGCCTGAAGCACTGGGTGGGTTTAGGTCCTCAGAGGAAAGGGCTGGAAGCACTCTCCTCCTTGAAATAGGATTGGCTCCACTCAGGACAAGGAGTTTGTGATGTGATTTGCCTTGGGCGTAGTTGCTCTGCCCCTTCGCATGGAGACACTCCCCAGTCACAGAGGCCAGAGAGCCCTTCTCCCCACAGCATTCACCAGCACTGCTTTGTGCGTGCAGTCACGAGATCCTTCACGTAGCCACAGGGCACAGTGCTTGCCCTAAAGCAGCAGAGGCCTCCTGGGCTGGGGCTGAAGCAGCACACAGGATGGCTGAGGGCAGGGCTGTGGCTGAGGCTGGTCTCTGGCTTCTGCAAGTATTTGCAGTAAGCACTCCAGGCTCCTGCACTGCTGAGCAGCAAGCTGGACTTCCTCTGCTCAGAGCAGAGGCACAAATCCCCTGGTCTTCTTTCACATGTCTGGATGCTTTAGCTGATCCTTGAGGAGCTGGTCAGGACCTTTCCGTGCTCTGGGCCTTGTCTAACGCAGTTGGTGTGTACACAGCAGCAGCACTGTGCTTCCTGCCCAGATGTGCATGTTGTGACCATGACTTTTTTGTGTTTTCCCCCCACCCCCTTTTTTGCTCTATGGTGTTGTGGTTTTGGTGCTCCTTTTGACCTTGCCCCCACCTGGCTTGTGCCATTGTGTGACCGTCACTAACAGTCATTGCCGGGAGCTGCAGGAGCAGATCAGAGTGATGGACCAGAACTTGAAGTGTCTGTCTGTTGCCGAAGAAAAGGTACTAACCTTTCCCTTCTTGAACCATTAAACCAGAACTCTTGTGGTCTCCTCACTACGCTCCTCCCGTCAGCTTAACTGCGCCTTTCTCTCTCCTGGAACGTTCTGTCCTCTCTGCCCATGAATATCCCTGTCTGAGTGGTGGTGGCTGTCCCTCTGTCCGTTGGAACAGCTTCCTACTGTACAGCACACTAGACATGCAGCTTCTCCTTGGAGACTCCAGGTCTGGCAGAAACCTGTGTCCACATCTCGCTGCTCAGCTTCGTGCCCTGTACATGTGCTGGCAGAATACTTAAAACCTGAGCTCGGAGGCAAAAAGGGAACTTGCTTTCTGCACAAGTGCCTCAAAGCAGGGTTCCATCCAGTCTGATCTCAGACAGTCTCCTAAAGAACTTCCTGGTCTTCCCTGCATGTGGATTCACTTCTTGTCTCCTGTCTTTCCCTCCCACTTCTTCTTTTCCTTTTTTCCCCCCCTTTCTTTACAAAACCCCACAGTAAATGTTCCGAGCTGGAGGAGGAGCTGAAGAATGTCACCAACAATCTCAAGTCTCTTGAGGCTCAGGCTGAGAAGGTAGGGCTGCCTGTCCCAGGGCCAGAAACATTGCTGTAGTGCTAGGAGGGTGTGTGAACAGCAGAGCACCCACTGGGATGGAAATGATGCAACTGCAATCTTAAGCAAGCCAGGAGAGCTGTGCTTGCTCTCCTGGGAGGGCTAATGGATTTCAGTGGAGGGCTGTGGAAGCTGGGGTGCAGGAAGCTTGGCTGCCCTTCCCTGCCTCGGGGCAGACTCCATCAGCCAGGATGTTTAAGCTGCTAAGATGTTACGATGAGAATTTTTCTGTGCCCAGGTTTGTGTTCTGTGCGTGATGTGGGACTTGCTACCTGACCCAGTCCAGACCCTGCCTGGACACAGGCAGGGATGTGAACAATTCCCAGTTGGAAGTTTCTGTGGGCACGTGTGCTGCAGTGAGGAGTTTGTCTCCCTCTGTAGCTGTGGGCTTTCTGGAGTGGGAGGTACCTGGGGCTGCTGATTGCTAACTTCTTTTCCACAGTACTCTCAAAAAGAGGATAAATATGAAGAAGAGATAAAGATCCTGACTGATAAACTCAAAGAGGTGAGTGACCATGTCAGGATGGCCCAGCTGGGTAATCTGCCCTCAGCTTGATGGGGGAGAGACGTGGAGGATGGGAGACTCCATGTCCTCAAGCTGATGCCCTTTGCTGTAGAGCTGTTGCACTAAGTGGCGTTTCCATGTTTCCATGTTTCCATGTTTCCATCTGGCAGGCGGAGACCCGTGCTGAATTTGCTGAACGCTCTGTAGCCAAGCTGGAGAAGACCATTGATGATTTGGAAGGTACATTTTGGTGATAGGAAACCAAGGAATATGTGGTGAGGAGTGAGGAGCTAAGGAAGGCTGTCCCCAGGTAGCTGGAGAGTGCAGAGGCTGCTGTACTCCTCAGTTCTTGGATTATGACCTGACTTGGCCTCCAAGGTGAGGCTTGCAAGAGTCATGCCCTGTGTATGTGCTCTGAAAATAGCTCCCCAGCTGTACTGCAGCAGATCTCAAGCTCCTTTTCCAGACACCTGCCTTATCTAACTGGTAGCTGGTGTGTTTTGGTGGTGATGTCCTCAGGAATGTAACTAGATCCCTATGCTCCAGCTTAATCCAGTTTAAGGAGTGGCATAGGAAAGAAAAACCTAAACTTGCAGGAATTAGTCACAATAACATCCCTGCATGCAGAAGGTCATGCTGGCTGCTGCAGACAATGTCCTGCCAGTCAACCACAGGAGTCAGTGAGTCTTGAAACAGCCCCTGTGAAGACTCAGACTCCCCAGTGTTGATCCCGGATCAAGGTTAAATCACTGGCAGCCCCATCCACGAAGTGCAGTGGTCAGCCAGTGCCAAGGATGGGTTCCTTTCCTCCTGCCATTCCTTCACACAATCCTTCAGGAGCACTCCTGAGGCCAGCCATTGCAGAACCTTGCCCCAGGCCACGGAAGAAGAAGATTCCAGCTGCTTCCCTTAAATCTGGGGCTGTGGCCAGATTTTCCTGTGGATTGCTGTGTCTGGAGTGGTGGTGCTGGTAAACCAAATCCCTTCCAGGCCTTCTGCCTTGACCGCAGGTGTGCCTTTGTGGTCTTATAGTGCCAGGTCTTGGAGATACAAAGCCCCATCCTACTGTCTGGAGCTTTATTATCTAGAAATAGCAGTGGTGTCAGCTGAGCTGTTCCAGAACCACAGCCAAGCAGCAATCTGAGCTACCTCATGATCAAGGACAAACTTCTATGGGGAACTGCAAAAACTCCACCACATCCCTGCATACTCCCCTTGAAACCTGTTAATTGAGAGTTGGCTCTGATCTCCAGCCTTGCTGCTGAAGTGACCTAGTTTGTGACAACTGACAGAGCTCCCCAGGCTCTGTGAGGCTGTTAACAGCATGACCAGCTGTACTGTAGCCCAGGCAGCCCGAGCTGCAGCAGCCTGTGCCAGCTCTGCAGGGCTCAGGACTGCATCAGCACAGCTCCAGGCCCACCCCTCCCCAGAGGCCATGAGCTGCCTGTCTGCTCCATTATCTGATGGAGAACACTGGTGTGGCTGGTCTGTTCCACTTGCCCTGCCTCACTGCCTCCTGCAGGATGGGAATTCCTTCTGATGCCCAGCTCTATTACATGACTGACTTCTCCCAAGCCAGTCTTTGCATTGAGACGCAAGGTGAGAAGAAAGCACCTCGATTGATCAGTGCCTCCCTAGGTGTAGCAAGCTTCTCCCTAAGTGGATGAAGTTGCCCTTCCCTGCTGCTCCTCCTGTCACCGGTTCCTGCTGACCTAGCTGGGCAGCTTGTTTTTACAAGCTAATGTGGTTTGAGTGCTTGGCTCAGCTCCCCTCAAAGCTGGATTGTAATCCTGGAAGGCACTTGCCGGTCAGATTGTCCTCAGGCTGCTGGAACCCTCCTGTTTATTGTTGGGGACGAGCACGGAGTCCTGAGAGCTCCACATTTGACTTAATTTTCTTCTGTTCTTGAGTCCCACCTGCTTTTCCTGCCCTAGAGTGTTGGAAGAACTCTGCCTTCCCTCATTGTTTCCCTTTTGTTCTCCTCCTAAACCTCTTCTAGATGAGCTCTATGCCCAGAAACTGAAGTACAAAGCAATTAGTGAGGAACTGGACCACGCCCTGAATGACATGACTTCCATGTAAATATGAGCTGGCTGGCGTTTGCCTCTCGCTTCAGCAGCCTGGGCCGCCAGTGCTTGCTTGGTTTGCTGTGGTTTCTGTAGTTGGAGAGTCGGCAGCGCTTGTGCCGTCCCAGGTTACTTCTACAGATCTGCCCAAGGCGCCCCAGCATGCCGCCCTCTAACTCTAGGTCCTCGTGATCTGCATGCGTAACCAAGTGCTATGCTGGCCTGAAAGGGTTCTGACTTGAATTCCTGGAGTGCAATTCCCAGTCCTGCTGGGAAAGGCTTCCTGAGGTAAAGCAGCTTTGTTGTCTGCTGGAGCCACTGGGCCATGGTCTCGGGATTTCTTCAGGAAGAGGCTGTGGATAGCGCTCAAGTGGATTCCTTAGGAATTGCCACAACAGGCTTGAGATGGGCTGGATCATGAACTGATCTGTGGAAGTAGCTGAACTCGTGTGTTTCTGCAACTTTGCTCCTCAGCTTTGTGTTCAGATCTGCAGTGGGTGCTGCTCTAACAGCTGCTCTGCGTGGTCCTTGTACTAACCCAGGAGAGGACGGGTCCTCACCCCTCAGAGAAGAGCCTTAACATGAGTGTCCCAAAGCTGCCTCAGCAGAGTTTGCTGTGCACAAACACCGAAGCTTCTCTTAAAATTAGTGTCTCCTTCTGTCTCACACAGATAAGTCTTGCGATTCCAAACTCCACTTTGGATTTGTCTCTCTGCTTGGTGGCTTGATCTACATCTGCACTCTGCATTCACGCTCTCTTCATCTCACTTTGAATTCCAGTACCTTTTTCCAGTTACTGTGCACAGGGCATCCCTGGGAAAGGGTGCTGTAAAGACACTGAAGCTTGACAGCAGCAGCAGCCCCCCAGTTCTGCTGCTCTTGCTCCCAGACAAAGCTCCCTCTGTGTGACCTGATGTGCCAGACACTGCCTGCTCTGAGGGGCTGCCCTTTCTGTTTCGGGGGAGCTGGGAGGATGTTGTTCTCATCTGCATATCTTGTGTGGAGCCATAAAGCTCCTTTTGTATTTCTCTTGCCTCTTGCTCGAGCATGATGTCACCTTTTTTAAGGAAAACAGTTCTTGTATAAATGGAACAGAATGGCTGGTGCTTTTGAGAAGTGGGATTCTAGTGACCACTCACTGCTTTAGCAGCAATGTTTCAGCATTGCCTTCAAACTAGTGTCACCTTCAGTGGAACACAGACCTCACTAGCATGCTGGATTTTCCCTTGGGTTGTGTTGCTGGCTCCCAGATGCAATGGCAGCACTGCAAACGGGGCCTGTGGGGTCAAACGGGAGGCTGGGGATTGCAGCAGGAGACCCTGGAGCTGTGCCTGACTGAAGACACTCCTCATTCGTGCCTGCTCTGGTGTGTTCACCAGCACCAGTTGCCAAGCACTGGCTTGCAGTGGGAGGTCACACACCTGGTAGTCACTAGGCCAAGGCGTGGAAGCCAATAAATATTGCATGAGCTCTGGCTGATCTCCTGCAGGCAGGACTGGTTTGGGTGTGAGGCTCTGCCTGTGCACAGGGAGGGATGTGAGGCCCCTTGCTTCAGGAATGAGGAGGCACTGCAGCAGGGTTGTGAGCACCCGAGCCAGGGAACCCACGTTTTGTAGAACCCTCCCCTTGCTGTGCAGGGGCTGAGGGCAGCAGGATCTTTCTGGGAGCGTGGCATGGAGCTCTCCACTGGGCACTGCCACTGGGCTGTGAGCACCTGGCGCGTGTCACTGCTGCGCTGTTGCTCCTTGTGTGGTATGATAAACACTGGTCAGCCTGTGGTAACGGTATGTGCTGCCTCAGGGGGGGCTGCTCAAATACTTTTTCCTTTTTGGATTGGTTCGTCTGCCACAGTGCCCGAAGAGCCCTTCGTGAGCAGAGTTCTGGTGACATAGGACAGCTCCCGTGGTTTCCTCAGGTTTGTGCCCCTCTGTTCTCCACACCACAGCACTGACAGTCAGGATAGCCCAGGCATGCCCCAACCTGTTCTCACTCTGTCTTTGGTGCCAGGTCTGGGTGGGGAAGAAGGGAGCATTCCTGTAAGGAATTTCAAAGTATGGTCTGACTCTCCTGGGATTTGGGGCAGTAACTGTGCCCTGTAAGCACAAAGCAAGAACCTAGAACTCCTCAGTAACCCAACTGCAGCTGGAGTTGGGGGTCTGGGTCCTGTGGGAGGGGCAGGGCTTCTGTCAGTGTAGAGGCTTCCAGCCTGGTGTTCCATTGTCAACTGTTGAGACAACGGGGCCTCATCTATGTCAGTCAGTCTCTGCAGGGAGGGTGTTAGATGATGGACCAGGCTCTGCTCGGTGGTGCCCAGCAATAGGACAAGAGGCAATGGGCAGGAACTGGTGCCCAGGAAGTTCCACCTGGACGTGAGGAAAAACTCCTTTCTTGTTTGGGTGACCAAGCGCTGGCACGGGCTGTGCAGAGAGGGTGTGGAGTCTCCCTCACTGGAGATACTCCAGAACCGTCTGTGCACATGCAATCCTGTGCCGTGGATGACCCTGCTGGAGTAGGGAGGTTGGACCAGATGACCCACTATGGTCCCTTCCAGTCTCACCCATTCTGTGATTTCTTACTGGGTGGCAGATGGCAGCCTGCCCTTGAGAAGTGCCTCTCTCCTCACGGGGAGGTCCTGTTGTGTTTGACTCAAACTGTGGGGAGCTGGTGGCTTTGCTCTGCACAGTGGTGTTCCAAGTGATGTTATCTGAGGCTGGGCTGTGGCAGGGCCTTTCCCTGCTCGTCTGGATAGAATCCACGCTGGGTGGCGGGTGGGTGGGTGATGCGTCGTCTGCCCTGGGAGGTTTTGGAGGCATCTGGTCTGACTGGATTGCTGGGCTTGTACGGGCTGGTTGCTGTGAGCTGGGCTGTGATTTAGGAGTGCTGCAAATGCAGATTAGCTGACCAGGAGGGCCAGGTCCTGGGGCTCCCTCAGTGGCAGGGATGGCTGGTGAGGCTGCCCTGGGGCTGGGCAGAGAGGAGAGCGGGCCCAACACTGGGAGTAGCAGCCTAGGCAAACATTCCATGTGGGGGAGCTGTTCCTGAGGTCTGGGAAAGGTCATGCATGCCAAACACTCCAGTTTTCTCCCTTGTGCGGGTGGATCATCAGGTCCCTGTCCACAGGCAGCAGTGCTTGCTTTAAAGCTGTGAGCCCTTAAACCAACTGACAGTCACTGGTCCTTCTGAGCACAGTTCACTCCCAGCCTCTGCTGCTCTGGGGACCCAGGACCAGCCCAGATCACCTGGGGCTGGAGACTGGCATCAGGGTGCCCAGCTGACCTGCTCAGAGCCAGTGTGGAGCCAGAGTCCTTAGCAGCAGTAGTAGCTGTTGTGCAAGGTGTGGGCCAGGACGGGGTGTACCTACAACTACCCTCAACTTCCAGATTGTGGTGGGACAGAAATCACTGGCTTCTCTGGCTCTGCCTTGGTCCCTTGTGTCTTTAAAGAAGGGACAATCAATCAGCATTACTGCCCTCTCCTACAGTCAGGTGCAGCTGGAGCAGGTCCTGAGGGCTGAGAGAAGCTGAGGGTGAGGCTGAAGGTGAACTTCCCCCTCTGTGTGTGGGTGTCACTCTGGAGAGACTGGGCTGAAACCCCGGGGAAGGCAATGTGCTTTGACTGTTCCATGTGAATCAGTTGACTGTCTGTAATCTTACCCAGCTAGATTTTGTTCAAGAGCAAAATATTCCTTGGTTGAAAGCAATGAGGAATGGTGTAGCTCCCCTTTAGAGGGTGCTCAGGACCTCCTAGTACAAGGATTTGAGGAGAAGCCCAAGGCCCAAGCCCAAGGCTGTGCTCTAGGCTCACTGCTTGGGCACAGGCAGCACACTGTGTGTCACTGCAGTTGGTGCTGGTCAGTTCTGCCAGGCTGGAAGCTGTTGTGTAAGCATTTTTCACTGCCTGGAATTCCCCTAAATGCAGGAATTGAAGCTGTCAGGCTGGGAGGACCCTGCCTGTGCAGATGGGCAGAGAGAGATGCTGAACGGGTTCTCTGTGGTGGTCAGTTGTGTCAGGACATTGGCCACCCAGCTCTGAGAGGTGACAGGTCCTGGGAGGGGACCAAACTGGTTCTTCCTTTCCTGGAACTGCTCATGAACACATGTGCTGGGCATGAGCCTCGAGGACACGTGTGGCTGCTGGACCCCTGTGGGGCTGTAAGGACAGGACTGGAGAGCCATGGCTGCAGAGACAGCGACAGCTTGTGTCCTGCTCATGTAGTTCTTCTGGGGCAGATATAAAAGAGGAGCCTGCACTCCAGAACTTTCTCTGTCCTGTACTGGAAGCAGTTGCTGCCTTCAGACCTGTCTGGTCTGAGTGGTTGGTGTGGTACCAGGTGTGTTCTCAGGGGATGGTCCTCCAGGGATGAGGTGCTGTCATCCTTAGTTCTCCTGGTGTCCTTGTCCCACTGTGCAGACCCTGTCAATCCTACTGCAGTGTGGTGTGGCTCCCTCTGGAAGCTGCTCCTGGTTCAGCTGTGGTAGGACTTGTTTCTGCAATGTGCTCCACAGGCTTAAAGCACATCCCAGGTCTCTGTCCTTACTGGGGTCCAGCCCAGCCTGCAGGCTCGTCTTCTGGTGTCTCCTTTTCCTTTCTTTGCCTTTGCACATCCTTGGCAGCACTTCCACTGCTGCCCACATTTGGTTTCCTCTGTGATCTTCCTGAGCTGAAGCACAAATTAGAGAAAGACAAACCTTTGTTCTTTCCAGCTTCACCTGGGAATAGCCCAGGCCATCCTTGGATGGAGACAAGCTGGTTTGATGTGCTCATCCTGGTGCTCTACTAACCTTCCCTTTCTCTCTTTTTCTCTCCTCTTCTTGTTTCCCTCATCCTGTCACTGCTGCAGAGCGCCTGTACAGCCAGCTTGAGAAAAACCGCCTGCTCTCTAATGAGCTGAAGTTAACGCTGCATGATCTGTGTGACTGAGAAGGGGCTCACTAATCCCATAAATGAGCTTATTGCGACCACCAGTGCTGTGGACCACAGTGAAATCTGATCATTAAGACTGGCAGACTTGCGAATTTTATGCAATTGCCGCTTTTTAATGGGGCACTTGAATTCATCCTATAATTTATTTAAGCATTTTTTTTAACATATAAAGGTAAACTCTATTCTTGGTGAAGTAACCCCCAGACTTGGCTGTTTTTTGAGCGGTCTTGTTTGCTTGTCCAGGGGGTCCTGCCTGGCTCCTCCATGGAACCAGAATGGCTGCACCCCTGAAATGAGGGGTGGGGTGAAGTTAGGCTTATGTCTGCTTGAAGCTGCTACAACTGAATTTGTGATTAGGTAAATGACTGTAGGATTTCCTGATGCATGGAATGATGGCTTCTGCCAATAAATGACTGACCTTGTAGTCTGTGAGACACTGCACACCTGTATTGTGTAACATCTAGGGGAGTCCTAACCGAGAAGGTGTGGGGTAGCAGTCATTTCCCAGGCCTGACCCCAGTGCAGCTGCAGGGCCCTGGAAGGATTGGGAAGGCTCATGGATATCTTGGCAGCAAGTCCCAAAATGCACAGCCCAAAGCTGTGCCCTGGGTGCCTGCAGTGTGTTTAAACGCTGCCATTGCTCATGCTCGAGGAAGACTGTTCTCTCTCTGTGCACAATTTCTGACTCTGGGGAGGTTGGGAGTGGCTTTGGGAATCTGCCTGTACCTAAAGGACATTTTTCAACAGCCTGTCTATCCAGTGTCCCAGCGTGTGGACGTCTCCAGTGATATGGGTGGGCTCACCTTTGGAGTAAAGCCTACCTAGAGCACTAGCTGCTGATCTGCTCTCCTCCTGGCTTAAGGAACATGTGAGAATCGACTGCACAGCTGCCTGTAGTCTCGGGCAGGGTGCAGCTCCCTCGCCCCTTGCTCTCTGCCTGTCACTGCCCCAGCCCCTGCCCCGCTGCCCTCCAGGCCAGGTCTGCTCCCTGCTGCTGGGCTTGGCATCCCTGCCCTGTGCTGAGGGAAGGGGGTCATAGCCACCTTCTAGGGGTGATTTCCAAGTGTGTGTTGCTCTCGGGGTGCCTTGCTGGGCCATGTGGGTCAGCTGTGGAGGTGTGGAAGCCCTGGGGAGAGCTGGCTGCAGTCGGAGGCACCTGCATGTGAGACACTGCCGAGGGCTCTGGCTAAAGGCACACCATGACTGTGCTGACTGGGAGCACCAGCAGTGTGAGAGGCAAGGGCTACACACAAGCCAGGTAACCTCAGAGCTTCCAGCTGCACCCAGCCAGTCACCCTGGCCCGAGGATCGCTGCGGCAGCGTGCGGGGAAGGGGCTGGCACAAGCTTTCTGTGGCAAAGGAGTTTTGGTTGTCTGACACTGTTTTGTAACTCTCAACTCTTGCTTTCTGCCAGATAAACTGAAATCCACCAAAGAGGAGCATCTCTGCACGCAAAGAATGCTGGACCAGACCCTGCTAGACCTGAACGAGATGTAATAGATCCCTGCCACCGCCTCCGCCATGCGATGCCAGGCGCCGGCCCAGCTGCTGCTGCCCTCTAACCCTGGGCACCAGAGTTTACCTTCTGTTGCCAACTTGACCAAACACAAATCTCCTTTGCCCCAGGGTTAAAGGCCACCAGGTTGGGCAGAGCTTCAAACAGCATCATTAAGGGAAATAAACAATGCAATAATGTTTGGGGAGCATGTTTGAGATGTACACATTTTGTAACTACCTTTTTTTGTAGCAACCATTGTAAACATTCCAAATATCGTGTGAGGCTGGTGAGCTACACTTCAAAGCTCTTGGCTTTAAAATTTGGTATTAACCTTCTGTTAATTGGCTCTGGGCCACCCTGCTTTGGCAGGGCAGGAAAAGGGTGTGATGGTGCTCGCTGTGAGTCAGAGTAGCCAGGCTAGGGATGGAAGCCTGTTGGGAAAACTTCCTTTCCAAGAGCTGTTTGCCAAAAGTGCAGTTCAGTTTCTCAGCTTTAAGGTAACTGTGTTGGGGAGGAGCAACTTGTGTGAAAGGTACTTTTTTTTTTCTTTTTTTTTTTAAGCCAAGCCAGTCATCTGAACAATTGAACCTTCACAAGGATTGTGTCCCTTTCCCCCCACCGTTGGCCACTTCCTTTCCTGGTGGGCTTAGAGCAGCCATGGCCCCTCTAACCCATTGCTACCCTGGGGCTGACTTTGCCTTCACTAAGTGCTGGTGCACCAAGCTTCACCGCTCATTGCTGGGTTACACTTAACAGCTTAAGTACAACAGCCTTGTATTCTTGGAGAAGTGTTTTTGCCTACCTGGAGGGAGGGAACTGAGCCTTCCCTCCTGGCCAGGACTGCTCTTACTGTCTTAATTGGGTACAAGCCATCTCGCTGTGCATTGCTGGTGTTCCGTGGTTGTGAGGCGTGAGCGCGGTATCGCCGCGCTCGCATCGTGTAGCTTGTGGTTTGAGCATGCTGCTTGGTTGTAGCAGTTTTAGGGGCCAATCTGGAGACAAAAACCCTATCCAGTGTTTTGATACTAAATTGAAAAATTGTGTTACTGTCTTTTGAAATAAAAACCGATCCTTCCACACCACTGCTGGCTGCAGAGCTTTACTGTGTCTGACCCACTCCATCTGGGCTTGTGGGGGATGAGGGTGGGGATGAAGGCCAGGGTGTGTGCCCATCTCCTGGGGATGAGACCAAGCAGAGGGTAAAGGTGGGCTTGCCAGTGTCTTCCTAGGGCTGGAGCACAAATGTGGGACTGTGGGGGTGAGTCCCTCAGTCAGTTTGGAGGTGACAATGAGTTGCATGGGAGTGTTGATCTGCTGGAGGGCAAGAAGGTTCTGCAGAGGGATGTGTACAGGCTGGATCAATGAGCCAAGGCCAACGGTGTGAGGTTCAACAAGGCCAAGGGCCAGGTGCTGTCCTTGGGTCACCACAACCCCCTGCAGGGCTCCAAGGCTTGGGGAAAAGTGGCTGGAAAGCTGGAAAAAGATCCAAAGGTGTGGGTGACAACAGGTGAACACGAGCTGTTGTGTGGCCACAGGCCCAGGGCAGTGACCATCCCCTGTGCTGGGTACTGCTGAGGCATCTCCAGTCCTGGGGGCAGTTTTGGGCTCCTCATGACAAGACATTGATGGGCTGGAGAAATTCCAGGGAAGGGAATGGGGGTGGAGAGGGATCTGGAACACCAGGAGCGGCTGAGGGAGCTGGGGGGACTCAGCCTGGAGAAAAGGAGGCTCGGGGGGACCTTCGTGCTCTCTGCAACTTCCTGACAGGAGGGTGGAGCTGGGAGGGGTCAGGGTCTGCTCCCAGGTAATAAGTAACAGGGTGAGAAGAAACGTTCTCAGGTTACATCAGAGGTTTAGATTGGATATTAGGGAAAATTTCTTCACAGAAGGGGTTGTCCAGCCGTGGTACAGGCTGCTCCATCCAACCTGGCCTGGAACACTTCCAGGGTTGGAGCAGCCACAGCTGCTCTGGTTAATCTGTGCCAGGGCCTCCCCACCCTCACAGGGAAGAATTCCTTCCCCATATCCCATCTAACCCTGCCCTCTGGCAGTGGAAGCCATTTCTTCTTGTCCTGTCACTCCTTGTCCAAAGTCCCCCACCCAGCTCTCTTGGAGCCCCTTCAGGCACTGGAAGGCTGCATTTTCCTGAGGTAGAGAAGGTTTGGAGAGCACAAGGGACCATCCTGAAAAAACCCAAACCCTGAGGTCAGGATCTTCCCCTGGGGAAGGGGTGTAGCTGTGCCTGTGGAGCAGGAGGCTCTTGCCTGGTTTAGCAGCTCAGCAGTCCCAGGGGCTGCTGCAACCTGACAGGGAGGAGGGGCTGCTGTCCTGCCCGGGCTGGGTGGGGGGATGCAGGCTTGTGCAGGATCAGGGGGGTTGTTTTCCAACTCTTATTGTTAGCTGGTGTCCACACCAACACCTGGAGAAGAGGGACCATCAGCTGAAGCCTGTGCACTCCAGGACCTGATGGGTGAGCTGCTGGAAGCAAGCTCTCCCCAGCACTGGGAGGATGCTCTGAAGCAGATCATTGCAGGAATAAACACTAGAAAAGGGATTGTTTTAGTGACAATATAAACCCACTTTTATTAATGTGCTCTGCCACCTCTTAAGGTCATTTAAAGATACAGGTCTGAGTGGAGGGGGGGAAAAACTAACCCTCCCTCCCTCCCTCCCTTCCTTGTAGCTGTTGAGAAGGGTGGTGCTGTTTGTTCCCCAAACCCTCTGGTGGCTGCTCTGCTGCGATGGCTGAAGAACATGGAAGGCAGAAAAATGCAAATTCATTGAGCCAGGGAATTGTATGCAGAAAGGAAAACTTTCAGAAAGAACAGAAAGACTCTGTGAGAACCTACAGGTCGTGACGGTGCCTGTACCCAGGCTCTGTAGGGTAAGAAGTCACTGATTTGCTCTTTGTTATTTTCACTAGTGCTAATTTTTCACCAGTTTCGAAGCCAGTCTGAGCCTGTAGATGCTGAATTAAGGATTATTTATTCTCCTGTTGACAGGCTGTTTACTCCATTGGGATGTCCTTGTTGATATGATAGCATTGAAATTATCTTCCAAATTTGAGAACATCCTGGACAATTCTCCCCTGGAGTTTGCTGTGAGAGCTCTGGACATCAAAAGATGTACCTGTGAGATAAGCTCTCCCACTGTTAATTCCACAATTTTAACTCTTCCTGCTGAGAAAGAAATGCTTCTTGTCGTCTTCATCTTTAATGGAAAAGGAGGCTTGAGTTTACTATGTCAGCAAGAAGAGTCCATGACATTTAGTCTCTGTGTGAGTTCTCCTTCCTGTAGGTGATTATCAGATTCCTTTAATTTGTCAAATGAGATTTTTGCAGAATTAGAACTTGCCCTTGAACGTTATGTCAGCTTTGTGGGTATCACCCTCCTCCACCAGCTCAGCAGTGAGGACCAGTTGGACCTGATCTGCTGTATGTCTTCCTTCCCATCACCAACCTGATTTGTAGTAAAAGAGACTGTGAAGGCAAACAGGACATTTTGGAGCCTAACTGTAAGTTTCTCTGAATGCTTTAACTTCACAGAGTAGTTTCTTGCACACTCTGAGGATGCCCATATTCTCTTTCATTAAATTGAAAATCATGAGAGAATTCCTGTACAAGAACAAGGATCTTCATATGTGAGACCCAACTGCTCTTAACTGCACTGTAGAAGCTGGATTTTTAGGTAGTAAGTAAATTAAAAGCTCAATTATAAAACCCTCGTTTCCTTTTTTTTTCAGGAATATACTTTCCCTCTGTAACTGCATCCATCCTGCTGGCAGTGGGCAGCTCAATCTTAAGGCTACATCTTTTCAAGTGCAGTGATTTGAAAACTGAAGTTGGCGTTTCTCCACTTGATGGGCTTCTCTCTAAATCAGACTAATTAACTCCACTGCAGACTAACAACAAGGAAATGGGCCCTGGAGCTCGGAAAGCATGTGTCAGAATTGCCTTCATGCCACTTCTCTGCTGCTTGTTTTTGTTATGGAGTGTTTGGATTCAGGGTACTTGGATACTTGGGAGGATGAAGAACGAGAACACTTCTGCTTCAGTCCTTGATTCCTGCCCAGAGGAGTTTCACAGTGACCCTGTGCCTGTCCTGTTCCCCACTAAAATCTGGTTTATGGCAGTGGGAAGATGTTTCTGTTACGGAAATCAGCATCACTGGCACTCTCGTTGCTTTGAGACAAAGCCTAATGCAAACTTCAGGTTTCCAAGCCAATTTAGGAGTGCTCCCATTATTAATCCCCAGATGAATAACTTCCAATAATAGAGTTGCATTTCTTAATGAAAATCATGTTACCAAGTTGCTGTTGATGGTTCTTGGGAGCCAACCTTGTGTTTTATTTCAAGTTTCACCATCTGCCCAGGAGACAGGAGGACGCTGGAAGTGGAGCAAGAGTATGTGATGGCTGTGGAAGTTTATGACACCGAAGTGTATTTATCTGATGTGAATGTGTGTTTACTTAACAACGAGCAGCTGCCAAAGGGAGTGCCATGGGGAATTGTGCTGCAGATTTTAGCACTAATAAGGAAATGAGAGAGTGAGAAGGGAATTAACCCTTGTTGTGTTATCTCAGTCTCCCCTTCACACACAATTCTATTCCCATATAATCCCCAAAAATCTTCTGTGTGACAGACCACTACAGAAATGCAAAACCCTGTGAGTGTTTTTGGAAAGTGCGTTGGGTTTTCCTTGGAAGGGAACACACTTTTCACTGATTTCTGTCAATTCACAGGACCTGAGAATAACTCACCATAATAAAACACAACTGGTTTCTGTTCTGCAGGTAAGAGGCAAAGGTGGCAGTAATTTTCTTTGCATTTTTTTTCTCTAGTCCAGTAGGTCATGTGACAACACTCTTGTTCATACCTATGTGAAAGCAACTGCTCTGTGCTTGAGGTTATGCCATATTTCATACAAATCATAGACACACAGACTGCTTTGGGTTGGGAGGGACCTTAAAGATCATCCCATTCCAATCCCCTGCCATGGGCAGGGACACTTTCCACTAGAAAAAGTTGCTTCAAGCCCTGTCCAACCTGGCCTTGGACACTTCCAGGGATGGGGCAGCCACAGCTTCTCTGGGCAACCTGTGCCAGGGCCTCACCATCCTCACAGGGAAGAATTCCTTCCCAATATCCCATGTAACCCTGCCCTCTGGCAGTGGGAAGCCATTCACCCTTGTTCTGTCACTCCGGACCCTTGTCCAAAGTCCCTCTTGATCTCTCCTGGAGCCCCTTTCAGCACTGGAAGAGGCTCCGAGGTTTCTCTGGACCTTCTCTTCTCCAGGTGAACACCTCCAGCTCTCCCAGCCTGTCTCCAGAGCAGAGGGGCTCCAGCCCTTGGAGCAGCTCCATGGGCTTGTCTGGACTCACTCCAGCAGCTCCACGTCCTTCCTGTGCTGGGGCCCCAGGGCTGGAGGCAGCTCTGCAGGGGGGTCTCAGCAGAGCAGAGGGGCAGAATCCCCCCCTCACGTGCTGCCCACATTGTGGGGATGAGCCCGGGACAGTGTTGGCTTTCTGGGCTCCCAGTGCACATTCCCCATCAGTTTTCCCCAGACAGTTCCTTCTGCAGTCCCTGCAGCTGTGAGGAGTCCGAGAGCTCTCAGAAATGCAAGAAACCAGACACTTGGATAAAAGTCCATGCTGCACTGGGGGATGCAAGAGGGGGTCTCAGCTGCACTGGAGGATGGAAGCAGGGCTCTCCACTGTCCTGGCAGATGAAGGGTCCATGCTGCACCGGGAGTTGGAGGGGATGGGGCCCCTGATATCCCGGGAGATGGAGACAGGAATCTGCACTGCCCTGGAGGACAGAAGCTCCTGGGAGCCTCTGCTGCACAGGGGAATGGAGGCAAGGGATCTCTGCTGGACTTGGAGGGTCCCCAGGCTACAGAGTGGTGAAGGTGGGGGTCTGTGCAGTCTTGGACAATTGAGGAGGGGGTCTCTGCTGCCCTGGACAATGGAGACGAGGGGTCTCCACTGAACCGAGCATGAAGGTGGCTCTTGGTTGCATGGGATGATGCAGGTGGAGGTCTCTGCTGTCCTGGGAGCCAGGGCTGGGGGGCCTCCAGTGTCTC